CGTTGGTAAAACGGTGGACCTCGTCCCCTCGCATTACCATCCGAAGTTCTCTTTGTCACAAGTACAAAGCATGTTTATCCGAATAATCTAGTCTATTTCCTGCATTGATCCTATCTTCACCTCAGCTGTAACGGCTAATGTCTGGAATGTGGGAAGACGCGCGCAATGGCATCAGCCAGGTACAGGCCAAGGCTACAATGAAGGCTAGCGTATGTGATATGACAGGACCGACACCAAGGACGAAGACGAAGAGCATGATGATATTGCAAGAGGTTAGCATGACCGACGGTAGTAATGTTTAGAAAGAAGAATATATAACCATAAGAACCGGACCCACATATGGCAGACAGGTTAGATGTAGGAAACCTTGACGCCCATTCCTACGGTACGTCTCACCTTGTCCCACGCACTCCGTATGATGCGTAGTATCCTCTCTCTAAGATGGCGCCTGCCAAACGCCAAGCCAAACGCCAATAAGAAAAGTAAAGTACGGAAGAAAGCCATGGGATTGGAAGTCATGTGATGGGCCGTATCCGAAATCATGGTGTGTATGTTTGCGAACATGGTAGACGCGCGGTTGTAGAGGCCGGGTGGTGGTGTGGTTGGTTTCTTGGCGGGCGTTCGGGAGGTGCGGGAAGACTGCGATGGCGTGGGTTGTGGCGTGGGTTGGGGTTTGCTGAAGCGCTCGTCTGAGCCGCGGGGTTGGCGTCTGTTTTGTTCCTCGCGTATGCGGCGTTCGTCTTGTGCGCGCGACTGCTCGAGGCGCTTGGCCTCGGTTTCTCTGCGGCGCTCCTCCATTTGCTCTTGTTGTTGCTGGCGTAGCTTCTCTTCGCGGGCTTGCGTGTCTTCCTTTTCTTCCTTGAGAGAGTGCAGTGCTAGCAGGAAGGCTTCCTTGCGCTCTTGGTCCAGCACCTCGGACATGTCGATGAAGTCGCGGGCATAGTCCCATTCGTCGTTCCGTGGCAGGACGTGCAGGGTGTAGAGCTCGAGGAGTTTGATGCGCTTTTCCAGGTCGCGTGGGGTGTCGGTGCCGGTGTGTTGCCTACGATGGCCTGGCCGTTTGTCGAGGTATGCCGGAGAAGACATGTGCGAGGACACGTCGAGGGCTGGGTTGGCGGTGGCGGAGAGGTACGTCTCGAGCTTCTGCTGATTGAGCCGCTGCGAGGGCGCATGGGTAAGGAGGAGGGTGGCTCTATGTAGCATCAATACGCAGTCGCTCACCAGGTCAGGGGATTGCTTACAGGTTGACGACAACGTCGGCGTCCACGTCGCCCTCGACACCCGCATAGCCGTCGCGGACCACGTGGTCCCAGATGCTGCCGTCGCGACACTGCGAGACCAATTGCTTCCATCGCGTGCTGCCAAAGGCGTGCTTGCCCTCTTCGGCGCCCAGCTCGACCACGGCGTTGAGGAAGGTGAGGTAGAAGCTCCACACCTTGACCCGGGTGCCGCGCGACGCCGTCGCGACGGGCGCGTGGCCCACGACGTCGGCCGCGTCGATTGGCGGCGGGGTGATGATGGGCTCGATAGTCGACAGCGCCTCGGGGAGTCGTCGCGTCAGGAACAGCTGGGCAGCCTGTCGGTAGGCTTTGGCGATCTGCGACGACTGTTGCCGTGACGTCGAGAGCGACGAGATGGATGATGAGAGGTAGCGCGACTCGCTGACGTCGTCGTAGAGCGTCGCCATGTTTCGCTATGTCGCGACGTTCCAGGCAATGTTCCAGGCAATGTCCTCTGAGCTTCACGAGCGCATAGCGGTGGGTGACGGAGCGCCCGGTGTCAACATTTCGAACCTCGGCTGACCTCACCTCACCCGAACCGCCTTGGCGCGTCACCTGCCTCCGAGACCCCGAGCTATCTGCGTTTGCATCAGTCTGTAGACGTTGTCAAGGTGCTTGACACCCGCTTGCTTGCGTCAAGCTCAGAGTCAGGAGCTAGACACGGGCTTTGTCGCTTGATCCATCGCTGCTAACTTCAACAACACTGACCAGAGAGACCTCCGCACCCAGCCAACATAGCTCTACACAGCGCCTGCCCCATTTCCTCCGATTGCCAACGACGTTTGGAAGTGCGCCTTGCTTATTTTTACGCGTCTCGCCAACATGGACGTCGACGCAGCTACCTTCCCGCACCACTTGCTGGCCATCTTCATCCACATATCCGAGGCCGACTTTGTGTCTTTTGATCTCGAACTGTCCGGCATTCCATCGCGCATCCAAGACAAACCTGCACATGGCCCGGCGCGCTTCACCATGGAGGAGCGCTATGCCGAGACCAAAATGGGCGCCGACCGCTATCAGATCCTACAGATAGGTATCACTTGCGCGCGCTTCGACTACCTTGCCAATACCTATGTCTTGAGGCCTTACAACATCAACATCAGCCCGCTTTTTGACGAGCGCATCGACTTTGAGCGTGAGATCAAGTTTCAGAGCGGCGCGTGTACCTTCCTCCTCAACAATGGTTTCGACCTGGGGGCTCCATTTGCCACAGGCGTACAGTACTTATCCCGCGAGGAAGCAGAGCGAGCAAAGCGCATGGCCTGGGATCGACTCGAGAACAAGAATCCCATACCCGATCTGCAACTTAACTCGGCAGATGTCGAGTCGCTCGACTTTATGCGCAGGGTGAGGCAAGCCATTGAGAAATGGAAATCTAGCACTTCGTCGTCCTTGGACATTACAACTCATACAGGGCTTTCCACTCCGCCCGTAATACCCGTCATCACGCGATTCGAGAAGCGTCTCGTGCATCAGCTCGTGCGCGCAGAGTTCCCAGAGTTGGTGTCCATAGGACGCGGAGAGTGTATTCGTATCCTTCATCTAGACCCTGTGCGTGAGGCCGACAACATGCGCAGGATCAAGAACCGCGTCAAAGAATCCATTGTCCGACAAACCGGCTTCCGCTGGATCTTTGAGGCTTTAGTCAAGGGCGGCGACATCAATCGCGCGGATCCACTCTATGTCGCACGCACTACTGGCACGATTGTCACTGCCGACGCATATGATATAAGAGATCGCTACGACAGAGCCATAGAAAGACTCAAGATCAAGCAGCCCGTGCTAGTCGGCCACAACATGTTCACTGACATTGTCTACTTTTATCGTACTTTTGTCGGCCAACTGCCTGCACGTGCAACATCTCCTCATTTGGACGACGCGCTAACTCCGTACAGGATACGTTGCAAGGCTTCCAGGATGCCATCCATGAGCTGTTCCCCAACATCATCGACACTAAATATCTAGCGACTCATGCTGAAGGCGACCTCAACGCCTCCCCTACACTACAGGATATTGCTGAGAATTCAAGTCTGCAGCCGTTGCCCCACATCGTCACGCATGCCGACCATCCGAAGTACCAAGAGACCGAGGCCTTCCACGAAGCAGGCTATGACAGCCTCCTTACTGCCACCATCATGATCAGGCTCGCCGCCAAGCTTGGTGCGGAGCGAGGAGAACAGGTTCCGGCGCCATTGCCCAACCGTCCCAGTGACAAAGCGAAAGGAGTGTTGGCGGAAGATGTTCAGGATTTTCTAAAAGATGGACGCGAGAAGGTCGACCTGCCCGTTCCCCTGCCCCCAGTGGAGCAGCCTCAACCCAAGAAAACAAAGAAACAAAGGGCCAAGGCTAGGAAAAAGGAGGCAAGACAACAACAATTCGAAACTAAGAACCTATTCGACACGCTCAAAGCTCTGAGCCCTGACGCCGAATCTTCCTCGACTGAAGATGACGGAGAGGTTAAGCTTCCTGAAGATAGTGAACTTGCAAAATGGGACGAACAGGTTCAAGACGTCGCCGGGTCATGGGAAAATGACGTCTACGTCCAAGATAAGACGGGATGGGTGCCGTTGGAGCAGGTTAAGCGACAGCCAATGGAGCTCATCCCAGCCTTTGATTCAAAGTTTTGGAACGAGTTTGGCAATACATTGCGTGTGTTTGGCACTCAAGAAGCTGTCCTGAAGATCGCAGAGTGGGAGGTTTGAAAGCCGCGCAAGCTTGACTCCAAGCTAATAAAAGGTGAAGTTGGCACCAAGGTTCTCATGGTTGTGTACAATCTTGAAGAGCTGAAGTTACGCCGTGAGCGGTAGTAGAAAGACAAACATGTGTTGTCTCTAATGCGCAACTCGACTCTGTGCCCATCATGGTCATTCATCATAAGAGACAGTGGTTTGAGTGCGTAACAAAGAGTTCTTCAATGTCTTCCCCTCTTCTTGTAAAGCATGGACAGCCTCCTGCGACATTCCTTCGGTCCCAATCCAGCAGCGCCATCATCCACAATCACTCAGACCCAATCAAGTTGCAGGTCACCAAACACGCCTTTTCATCATAGACACACAGGTTCGGCATTTGCCGCTCATTTCAACGCCCGCCCATGTCATCACCCATATACAGTCTGCTTCTACCGTACACGAACCCGACTTTCGGTCCAAAAGATCGCACCTCCTCAGATATACACGATTTGCCTTTTTCAATCGATGCATATGACTCTGACAGACTACTCATACACCATCACTTCGAACGGCCAGCTCCAACAGATCTCTGCAGCGGTCTCGTATGCTCTTCAGGACGTCATAGCGTATTCGAAAGATTCCGCAGGGAGAATGCTCGACTCGACATGTATGAGTCCGTAGTTTGACGGACAATGGTCTCGGGATCGGAAGAGGTAAAGGCTATAGACAGGTTGTCAGGTAATATTAAATTGAAGGGTCGACGTCTGGTGCTGTTGACACAAAGTTTTCAACAACGTGCAGGACCAGCGCCTATGGCTTCTACTGGCTCGATGTTCACCTCCACCGCTTTTGCCTGTGTCGTACTCGATGGGACGACCCCTCGGTTGTGCTCTTCGTCGGAGCCGGGCACATCATTTTCCTGGGGTAATGGCTCAAAGTGCGCATTGTTGACTCTTTTCCTATCGATGCGACGTCTCCAAGGCTTGTACAGCAGAACACTGAGACCACCGAAAACGATGAATGTACCGCATATAGCTCCGCCTGCATCCTGTTAGTGTCGAATTCTTTTAGTGCGATCAATCAACTCACCAACTATATCCCAAGCATCGCCCAGCTTTTCGACGCCTTCCCAAAACTTGCCATGCGGCTCGGCAACGTTGAGCACCAGATTGAGGAACTGCACTGTCCCGATGATGGTCGCGACAACCACGGTAATGACTGTTAGCACAATGCTGTAGTAGCAAATGGCGATCGGGTCGCGCGCAAGTTGCGTGCTTGTGTACAGACTCATCATCAGCGCACCATCGGTGGTATCGAGAAGGCACATGCCTGCTGTGAAGAGCAGTGGAAAGATCAAGATCAGCCAAATTGATGTCCCCTTCGTGGCTTGAATCGAACTTATTCCTAGGATAGCGATCTCGGAAGAAGTGTCGAAACCTAGCCCGAAAAGTACACCCAGAGGATACATCTTCCAGGGTCGGTCGACCAACTTGAAGAGCTTCTGCAATATCGGGAAGAGGCAACCGCCGCCCTGTATCTTGAACTGTTCGTGCTCACTACCAGGGTCGCTCGAAACCATCTTTCGCATCTGTACTATGAGCTTGTACAGAATGTAGATGTTCATAAGACCAAGGAGCAACAAGAAAGCAGCAGAGACTGAAGTGCCGATAATGCCACCGACACGCTCGAAATTGTCAAACTTGTCTGACACCGCCGCTGCAGTTCCTGCAACGATGAGCGACGTGATGATGACGATGGTAGAATGTCCGAGACTGAAGAACATTCCAACCGTCACTGGCCGCTGGCCTGCAGCAACCAGACGGCGAGTCATGAGATCGATCGCCGAAATATGATCTGCATCCAGGGCATGGCGCAAGCCCAGAGTGTATGAGAGGATTGCTGTCGAGATCAGTGGCGTATGCCAGTGCTGCCGACGTTTAGCATATGAGATCAACGCCATTCGGTTTCACCTTCTTTACTTACTAAGACTATACCAACTGCCGCCCAAACAAGGAGGTTTACAGCGACGAGGGTTATGATGATTGCGATTGCCGCGAATGGGAGCCTTCTGAGGTAGGGTGTCTGCGCATGATATGCAGATGCTTTGTTGGATGCATTGCGAAAGAATGATAATTTGCTCCCTGCATCGCTACCCACTACAGATGAGGGGCGGGAGGTTGGCATTCTACCAGAATTCGCCCTCGCGCGTAACAAAGGACACGAGAAATTGCGATCGAAGTGTGATAGAAAGAGAAAGAAGTTTAGAGAGGTACCTATAATGAAGCTTGGAAGGTAAGTATCGCAGAGCACCGTGGGATGCAAATGACGCCAAGTGGGGCTAGCAGCTGTTATCGTGACCCTCTGGCGGGGTAATTAGCATCATGGTGTACTAATAGTCGCGAATCCACGAAACCTCGGCATCAAGTTTTGACGATCAGAAGCTCGTATTGTATATGGTGAATTATCGTCGACTCTCAGATTTTGCGGAAGCATAGACATGCGTTGGTGCCACCAAAACCGAAGCTATTCGAGAGAGCCACATTGACTCTGTGCTGTTGAGCAGCATTGGCGACGTAGTTGCAGTTAAAGTCAACCGCCGGATCTCCTGGATTCTCAAGATTGAGAGTCGGAGGTAGGATGTTCTGGTCATCGTCAACATGTAGGCTATGGCAAGAACCACATCTGACTTACGTGATGCATCCCAAGAATCGTGAAAATTGTCTCCACGCTCCCTGCAGCACCCAGAAGATGCCCGACCGCACCTTTTGTACTGCTCACATTGATTTCACAAGCTCTATCCTTTCCGTCTTCGCCAAGCAGAAGCTCTTTGATGGCTCGGTTCTCCGCAGCATCACCTAGTGGGGTGCTCGTCGCATGGGCGTTCACGTAGTCGACAGCGCTTGGCTTGAGGCCGGCATGTCGTAGTGCATGCTTCATTGCGAGACGTGGGCCTTGGCCATCTTCGCGAGGTGCCGTCATGTGGTGTGCGTCGCTGGACAGTCCGTAGCCGGCGACTTCAGCATAGATGTTCGCACCTCGCTTCCTTGCGTGCTCGAGTTCCTGCACCTGATTAGATACGACAGGTACGACAACCTTGCACACAGCGATCGCGTACCTCGAGAACCACAACTCCGGCTCCTTCTCCAATGACAAAACCATCCCGTTCTCGGTCGAATGGTCGACTTGACTCCATGGGCCGTTCATTGAACTCAGTAGCCAGGCTTCTAGCCCTAGCAAAGCCTGATATGGCGAGAGGATGAATGCATGATTCAGCTCCGCCGGCTATCATAACATCTGCATCTCCGAACTGAATCAAACGTGACGCGTCTCCGATGCTATGTGCTCCGGTCGTACATGCTGTTGTTGCCGCATGGTTCGGTCCCTATCATGGCTCAGCATCAACAAACATAGCCAGCAAGTTATAGCCACCTTGAACCCATAACGCATCGATATGTGACCTGCAGCTAGGTTGATCAACAGTCGTGGAACAAAGAGCGGGGACACCTTCCGGTAACCCTAGCATAATCAGTTGACAGTTACGATCGATAGCTGAGACAACCCACGCCTTTCTCATAAGCAATTGTGGTATCATACACATCATCTAAACTGCCGATACCAGATCCCATGTATACTCCCTATCTCGGGGTGAGCAAGATGCAGGCTGGGCGGATGCTGAGCCTCCGTACCGTGACTTCAAGATCGGCCTCTTCCTTCGAAAACCATCCCGCATCATTGAGAGCTTCCTCGGACGCCACCATGGCATACTGTGCGAAGCGTGCCATACGGCGTTCATCCTGTGACGAAATTAACATTGTCAAAGACAAGAACGTTGGGTGGCGGTACATACGCTGTGGCTTAGATGCTCCTTTGTATTCCATTTGCCATCGGTTTTGCTACCCTGAGGAACCAGACCAGCGACTTGGCTCGGTAGCAGCGCGAATTCAGGGCTTCTGTCTTTGATGGAAACGATGCCACACTGGCTATCGATCAGACGCTTCCAGGTTCGTCGAACACCTATCCGCGTTAGGAGAAATGGGATCAAAGCAAGGTGGACGTCGTGTCACCTAGTCCAAGAGGGGTTACAAGCCCTAAGCCTGTTACTACTACCCGTCGCATCGCATGTCAGTAATAATGGTTGATGTTGGATGCGGACGCGTTTGGGTGGGCAGAGAGAGCTAGTGTCACGCGCAAGCCACGTGTGGCGTCCGTTAGCGAGAGGTGCGTGCTACATAGCCGTGATTGCGTCCGTCCTTGTTGTTTTAGATGCCTCCATTTCGCTCCCATCGCAGGAATTCTATATAGTGCACGCTGAGCTTGGTTTCCATTTGCAGCCGTTGACTGGTCAGAGTACGCTTTGCGCCAGTCGGTTGATGCATTAATTCGACGATGACAAGTCGTATTTGGGCCAACAATATATTTCTGTGTACTATAAAAGCCAGACAACAACCTGCAATTTGCCCATGACCATCGCAATCAAAGTCGGGAGAGCTCAACTTTTCTGTTGTTGTCCAATCATCTAACTTGAAACACCTGCGGGCAGCCGGTGACTCTGTCTCTTGATTGCACTCGAGGGTTTGGCGACAGTCTTCGTGTTGTTGCACAACCTCATGGGAGAAATCGTATGGTAACGCCATTTTGCACAAAGCAGTGATTATGTCGCCAAGTAGGTGAAAACAATCCTGGACAATGGCGGACAGGCAACACTCGGAGGGAAGCCTCGAGTCTTGTCTCGGGCATTGCGGGGAACTTTGGAAGCAGTGTCAAGAGTATCAAGGCTTGGGCAGACACTTCAAAAAACCAATCTAGGCAAAGGGTGATGGTTGATGTTTGACAGATCGAGGGCATCATACGGGCCAGGCAAATCCCAAAAGCACGTCATTGTCTTGGCGAGCCTCGTCTAGCGGGCGTCTGCAAGCAGCACTCGACACCAATGTGATGACTCCCCACAATGTGATCGATACGCCAGACTTCCTGCAACGCAGGCTCCACTCTTCCCTACGACTACACGTACGACATCGCGACTATGGATACCTATGGATCTGCCAATGGATCGACGAAGTACAGTAGGTGCATTTTGAACTTTTCTTGCCGTCGCAAGCATTTCGGACAGGCAAAGCAAGAACGGCTGGTTGCTGTAATTTGCTATGCGGAATGTTGAAGAATCCAGACGGGTTTTCTTGACGCGTTCTGGCGGTGCATGATCCAAACTGACATGCGGTAGGGACGGTGTCGTCGCAGCCCGAGAATCCGTTCGCCAAACTTATCCCCGACCAGACCTTTGCCGTCATCCCGCGGGTCACGCTCGAATCCGGCGTCGTGTTACACAATGTCAGCGTTGCCTACAAGACCTACGGTACCCTCGCGCCCAGCGGAGACAATGCCATGGTGATATGCCATGCGCTCACCGGAAGCGCTGACGTGGGAGACTGGTGGGGACCGTTGCTAGGTGGGCCTGGGAAGGCTTTTGATATATCGCGCTTCTTCGTCGTCTGTATGAACAGTCTCGGCAGTCCTTACGGGAGCGCAAGCCCGGTCACAGCAAAAGATGGCGACGTCTCGCTGGGTCCGTACGGACCCGAGTTTCCACTGACAACTGTAAGAGACGATGTCAAGTTAGTCGAGCGAAATCTGGAATTCGTACTTGGAAGCCGCTAACGGGCACAGTGTCTTCAAGCTCCTTTTGGATGATCTTGGTGTGAAGCAGGTCGCTGCCGTCATTGGAGGATCCATGGGCGGTATGCTTGTCCTCGAGTTTGCCTACTTCGGAAAAGACTACGTCAAGACCATCATCCCGATAGCCACTTCCGCTCGCTACAGCGCATGGGGCATCAGCTGGGGCGAAGCGCAACGGCAAAGTATCTACAGTGACCCCAAATACGACGACGGCTATTACGCATATGAAGATCCTCCATCGACCGGGCTTGGAGCCGCACGCATGTCTGCTTTACTGACTTACAGAAGCCGCGACTCGTTCGAATCAAGATTTGGGCGCAATACACCAGACCTATCCAAGAAACAGAGCATCAATACTGTACCGCGACCGACCACTCCGTCCAATCCCTCCCATGAACACTGGGCGATACACAACCACGGTCACAAGAACGCTGGCTCGCCGCGTCTGATGTCACGGACAAACAGCAGTACCGCCATACCCGGTTCTGCAGCCGCACATGCCGACCTCGAGTTCCATGATGCATCGGACCCAGCCACTCCGAACCTCGAAAGGTCAAGCTCGACAAGTAGCAACAGTCAATTCCCGCGCTCATCGAAGCCTCTTGCGCCGCACTACTTCTCAGCACAGTCCTACCTCCGTTACCAGGCCGACAAGTTCATCAAGCGTTTTGACGCTAATTGTTACATCGCAATCACAAGAAAGCTGGATACGCATGATGTATCCCGCTACCGCTATCCTGAAGGCGAGACACCCGACACACTAGATCCAGTATCGGCCCTTCATTATGCGCTTTCCTTGATTGAACAGCCTACACTGGTACTAGGTATACAGTCGGACGGTCTCTTCACATTTGCCGAACAGAAGGAATTGGCCGCTTGTATTCCCAAGGCTACACTTAAGACGATCGATTCTCCAGATGGTCACGACGCCTTCCTCCTCGAATTTGAGCAGGTAAACAAACACTTACTAGGCTTCCTCGAGACCGAGCTTCCAGAGATCATGAATAGAACACCAAACGTAGAGACCGCAACAAGCGATTCTGGTATGGTCGCCACCAAAAGCAGCACGTTTGGTGAGGCTGAGGTCGACGATATCACGGCATGGTAAGAAGAATGGGAGCATTGAATTTGGCACGGCGTTCTGGGTTCAGAGGATAACTGCACTGGTCGGCGTACAAATTTCGGTATAGCCTTGAAAGAAGGCTGCATGAGTATAATGCGCCATGGGGCGTCCCGAGCTGAGGTTCAACCCCTCGTAGACACCAAGTATTGCAGCATGAGAGCAGCAACAACAACAACCCAATAATTCTCTCCTCTTAGTTTTCCCGAATCTTTCAACTCTGTCACAAACGGCTCGCACATGTCCAATCTACCTCATGTCTGTACCCCGCCTTGCACGCTAATCGTTAGTCGTCTCCGCACGTCCACCGTCTCGCGTGCCCCTCATCCTCGGTTCGTATACACAGCGGATACTCCCCGCAGACCTTGACACGAACGTGCTTTATCCGATCTGGTCTCCCGAGTTGCAGTGCCGTAGGATCACGAGGGCTTTGGTGACGATGCACGGTAGATTATGAACGCAACGTCTTGACAATGGTAGAGGGATTATCTGTGTACCGAATTCGGACTGCTCATGCTTTTGCGACCCCGATCAGTAACCTTCGACTATCCGTACAAAGGCCAAGAACAAGGTCCGTTAAGTTGGACCCCCGCACATAGGACAGTGGGTGCCGGGTGTCCGTGTTGATACATATATAGGTGTATTCGGAGTGACTCGATGTTCCTCAATCAGCCATAGTCCCTTTCTTCACATCGTCCCGAATACAGTAACATTATGCAACTCCCCAAAACACAAAAGGCGGCCATCAAACAAGGCACCGGCGACAACGCTACGATTACCATCAAGGAGATTCCTGTCCCAGAACCAGCTCCTGACCAGATTCTCGTCAAGATAAACTACAGTGGCCTCTGTGCCTCGGACAAATCCCTGCTCCATGATGAGTGGGACTTCAAGATGGCCGAATGTACCAAAGGCATTGTAGGCCATGAGGGCGCTGGCATCGTTGTAGCCGTTGGCGCAAACGTGCAGGATCTCTGGCAGATTGGTAATCGCGCTGGTATCAAATGGATTGCGTCTGTATGCCGACGATGCGAGTTTTGTACTAATGGCCAAGACGAATGTCATTGCCCGAAGCAGCTGAACAGTGGATTTACTGTTGCGGGAACGTTCCAGGAGTATTGCTTAACGGATGCGAGATATGCGACGAGATTGCCTGATGGTGTCAAAGATGAGGAGGCGGGCCCGATCATGTGTGGTGGTGTTACAGCGTATGTGGCTTGCAAGAGAAGTAAAGTACTCCCCGGGCAGTGGATTGTCATTCCGGGAGCGGGTGGTGGTGAGTATGCGCATAGCGCTTTTGTGTCCTCTTCCGTCTTTCGCAGCGATGAAATTGAAACCGGCATATAAGATGATACTGATACCACCCAGGCCTTGGTCATTTTGGTGTTCAGTACGCTCGCCATATGGGTATGCGCGTTATTGCCATCGACGGCGGCGCCGCCAAACGCAATCTGTGCCTCTCTCTTGGTGCCGAGAGGTTTATCGACTTCACTACATGCTCGGACATCACTTCCGAGATCATGAAGATTACTACTTATGGCGCCCATGGCGTGATCGTTTTCGCAGCAACGAAAGCAGGCTACGAACAAGCGCCAAACTTGCTGAGACCCAACGGCACGATGGTGTGTGTAGGTCTACCGAAAGATTCGTCGATCATTGCGGGAGCTAGTCCAATCCTGATGTGCCTCAAGAGATTGAATGTTGTGGGAAGCGTGACAGGAACGCTAAAGGACGTTGAGGAGGTGAGTGTTATTCTCGCGAGCTAGGTAGGGAGACTGCTACTAACTGGGCGGGTAGGCACTCGACTTTACTTCGCGAGGACTCGTACATCCGATTCTGATTCATGGTGGTTTGGAGGATATTGATCGGTTCTGTGCAGACATGAATGCACGGAAGCTTGCTGGACGGGCTGTTATCAAGATCGCTGCGTAGATGGGTACAGTCCACGATGCTCTACATCAAGTAGAAATTTGGTACCGCCATGCTACACTCAAGATAGATCTGCGCCAAACCCTACGTGAAGCAAATCAGAGGCGAATCATTTTTCTGCTCTGCTTGACTCCTTTCCTTCGTTATGATGCGGCTGAATGCGTGGCTGAAGGGTTTACGAGTGGCTGTGTTTTACAATGGGTTCATCTTAACTTGCCTCGTGCAAAAACTAGTCAGCGCTCTTTGGAGCACTACCTCGGTGACAGACCTACTCAAATGTAGCTCTCGATCTGCTATTGAAGAATAGAGTAACCAGCCACGGAGGCATCAGCGAAATTTAAGGTGATGGATGATGACGGTATAGAGAGGATCATAGGATTCAGATCAAGACCGGGATACTAGACGAAGCTGTCGAGACAAAGGTGCCGGTTGCCACGAATATGCCGGATAGAGTGCAGCACTGCAGATATCCGCTGTGCGATGTATGATTATCCTAGGGCTAATGTGAGATTGCGATAGTCATCTGGCTCTTCACCGTACGCAAACCGTACCACGGAAATTGTTTATCGAAATGTCTGGCGCGGCGCAAGCAGGATTGCCTCACAGGTGACGCGAAAGTGACGGAAAGATGACGTGGAAAGACAAAAAGATGGTGTTCGAAAAGGAGCGGCAAAGAAGAAAGGAAGATAGTCGAGCAGGGAGAAGGTGTTGGCGATACCTGGAATCGGACAGGAGGGTGCGACCTGCGTGTGTCGGTCAGTATAGGCCACAAGGCGAGCGTGTCCGAGGTACGGAGGACAAAGACAAGCGGCGAACGCGTGCCGCCTGCGCCAGCGTACCGCGAACCCGAGCCGTGGGATTGCAATTAGCTGATGACTTCGGCATGCCTAGGGCAAGAAGCCGTCATGTGTCGAAGCCAAGACAACGTCGACCTAGGGCGAGGCCTGACTCAGCTAAAGTGGCGCGGTTTGCGTTAGCAGGGCGCGGGGCGTGTCATGGTGGTGGAGCCGAGACTGTCAGCGTGGTGTGGGAGCAGCGAGAAAAGCGATGGTGTGGTGATTCTAGGCTCGGTGGGAGGTGCGCGAGATTCCCAGCTGAAGCAAAAAGCACGCAGGGTGGAGTGGAGTGCGGCGGACGACGGATCGCTTGCAGAGGTGCAGGCTCGACTTGGCTCAAAGGGGCGGATGGGCCTGTTTCTAGGTCCTGTTAGCGGCATCTGGAACGTCTTCAGGCCTTGACGAGTTATCCTTGCATGGCACCAACAACTGCAGGGCAGCTGATAGCAACAAGTGATGCTCCTCTTCTCCGTCAGCTTCCATTCGCACTGCCCTGCGCTGTCAATCTCTCCGTCAGACTGGTGTCGCATCTTCCTCGGTCACATACGACGCGCCCCGTCCGCATTTCATTCCACAGCAGGACCACCCCTGTCGTCGCTTTTAGATATACCCAACGCGCCTGCCACCGCTTCTTTCGCTTCTGCAGCTCCTGTGGCGTCATCTCGACAGCGACACTGGACTTTGTCCGTTTGCTCGACTTACTTTTTCCTGACGAGAACAAATCACTGTGACACATCGAGTCCGGGGATTCCATCGTCAAACCACTACCGCAAGCCACCCGTTCATGGCGCCTTCTCCTCGATAGGTCCATGAGCTGCTTTGGCACCACACGCCGCTTCCAAATACAGCGCCGATACCTACACTAAAGTCGTGCCCTGACCTTGGCCAAGAGCCCTGCAGCCTTGCAGCCATCCACTCTTCAACGCACCGCCCTGCTCCATAGACTCGACCACTGAAGCCATGGCTCAAACACGTGCACCACGGCCTCGCTCGACAAACCCTTCGCCGGCCACGTCAACATATGGATACCACAACACCTACCACACCCACGCTCAACTGCCCATCGGGTCGCCGCCCTCGTATGCTCGCGCAACCGATCCTCAGACCCGTCGCGTCCTAGACGAAAGGACAAGGAGAGAGAAAGAGGCGGTGCGCAGTATCCAGTCACCCCCGCCCTACACCTGCACCGTCGAGATGGAAGGACTTGTTGGCATCAAGCAGGAACTATCCTCGCCATTCCAGGTCTCGGGACATCGAGAATGGCATGATGTCTACGCCATACTTCGAGGCACGCAGTTGAGCATACACCGCATAAAGTACCCGCGTCTCCTCAGCAAGAACAAAGAGCCATGCCCAGGTCGCTTGTTGCGAACCTATTCCTTGCAGCATGCTGAAGTTGGCGTGGCATCTGATTTCAAGAAGACGTTGCTGATACCAAAGTCTCCTTTCGCCCACCTGGTGCCCGCTGTCGCTCGGCCTAAACTGTACGAAACGGATCCACAGCTTTTCGAGCCTGTACGGGAACATGCCATCCGCCTGCGCCTGGAGTTTGAGCAGTTCTTGCTCTGTCCGTCGACCGAGCAAGGCATGCTCGACTGGGTGGAATTGTTTTGCGCCGCCATCGACATCAGTGCACCCCTAGAAGATCGCAGCGAGCCCCGCTACAGAAGTCTTCCTCGAAGGGGCAGGCGTCAACGCATTCTGGACAACGCGCAGTTCGGAGGAAACCTCGAGAGTCTGACAAGTCTAGAAGCCGGCCGACGCATCGTTGCACAACAGGAGCAAATTATCCGCCAACTTTACCCACATCTGGCTGGCACCCGCGACTCGGGCATCAGCCACGCAGCACCTGCGCCAGACCTAGAATTCGACGACTTCGACCCCGAAGACGTTCGTTTCCCGACGCGGCATGCGAGAGAATCGCTAGCACCCATCTCTTCACACGACTACGAGCAAGGTGATGACGAGCGTCCTGAGAGTGACTCCTCGTCAGATTCCAAATCGGCACCCGCGATCCGACCTTGCCCTGCGCAGACCCTGCGTTACCGCCGCCGTTGCGCTCCAGTGTTGCTTGCTTCTTCTCCACGTGTCAGCGACGTAGTCTTTGGAAAAGGCCAACGCTTCCGCATTAGCGTCAAGGCGCACATGCTCGTCGACTATACCCCGCACCCACCCCGTTACGACGTACATGGTTTCGCGAGGTCCAAACGCTCTGCAAGGCTTACAACGATCCACAGCTCACCAACAGCCACCGCAGACAAAACTGAATCCGCTGCTGCCTCATCAGAGAGACCCAGCTCGCCTATTCGTGGTGTCAGTGATGATTCCATCACGTCAATCACTTTCGGCGAAGACCTAGGCCCTATGCGCTCCAAGTCAAACAGTGATGCTACAGGCCCATCAGGCCCACCATCGCCGTCTGGCATGTCGCAAACAAAGATGGATACCGCGCGTCAACTGAAGACGTTAGGAAAGCGACGAACGAGCGAGGACAGTCGCGAGACAGGCCTGAGCGCCGTCACAATTGGTGCCGGCTTGATGATCTGAGCATCCATCATACATTACATCTACACATACTCTCTTATGTCTTGCTGCATCACTGGGCGTCAACCGAGCCTACACTCGGCTTAGAGGGACCACTACTTTTCTTTTTAGCGTTTGCACTGGTGTCATAAGCCGGAAGGAGGATATACCCATTTTACTTTGTACGGCATATAACGAGAGCGTTTGCGTTGGGCTAGCAGTCGTAGTCGACGGCAGCGGGTCGTCTGTATATAGGCCATGCTGACATTAATCAAATTCATCTATAGAAATGACCCGTGCATGTAATCTTTCCATAGCTCCACCTCTCAAGCAAAGTCGCGATCCTGACACGTCTAAAACTTGACATAGCCCTTGTCCTTGACAAACGTAGCTAACCACGGTACATCCCTTTCTTGCTGCACCAACTGCGCATAGAATGCGCCGTGCGCAGGGCCATCTACACCGTTTAGCATGGGTGCACCATCTGCAAATGTAAGTTATGAAGTCAGTGTATCTCTCATATGCAGTTTGTATAGTCATTTTCTTACCATGCTGTCGTTGGTCTGCATAGAAGAACCTATAACCCGATATTAGCAGAACATCCCATGTCCAACCCACACGTTGACAGCAAGAGAAGTGTTGCGTAGAGGGAAAAAAACAACTCACCGATACCCCTTCTCCTTGTACAAAGCATCTGCCATGCCAACCCAATGCGCACTCGCGCTCTTTCCCACACCCAGTGTCAAGAACAGCGGGACAGGCGCAATGGTCTGATTCAGCGTATTGCCAGTGTAGATAAACGTCTTCTTATCCCCTGCATGCTCCTCCCCCATGCTTTCCCAGCTCTTGACCGCTTCCTGCGCTGCCACATACGGACTCACGGTATTGACATTCAGGTCTTTGGCAAATTGTTCCTGGGATATGGATAGCACGCTCTCTTCCACAGGGGGAGGCGTCAGCGCGGCGGCGTTCCAGACCACAACGCTGGGCGATGTGCCGTACTCTTTTAGCACGAGCGAGAAGAGGTTGGGAATGGATGTTGGCGCCGTGAAATCGGCTTTCAGGGTGAGGATGCCCGTGTCGGGGTTGATGCTGTTCGTGCCGGATCGGGAGGCAGTTGCAACGCGGTAGTTCAGGATGGTGAATGAGGTGCTTATGGCTAAGCCTACATTGGGGCCTGCGCCGAGAATGAGGGCGACGGGTTTGATGGACATGATGTTGGATTGATGCTGCCCAGGTGCGTGAGGCGGTACGATGAGACAAGAGACAAATGGGGCCAAGATACAGAAGCGGTTGGTGGTCCTATTGAAGATGCATGTGCCCTCCGTTGATACTTATATGCAGTGGGACGGACAATCAGGCAGCCTCCCATCCATCCGCCAGCTTCCAGAGTCCCGTTGCATTTATAATCTGTGCTGCATACCTGTATGTCAGCACAATCACCCCGGACTTTGCTTTCATACATTCTCGCTCTTTGCCAGTCGTTGAGTAAGTGAGAAGCCAAGAGGACGAATCCAGAAGGAGGACGTCGGGAACGTGCATGAAGAGTTACAAACAGGACGTAATCGGTGCCAAGCGAAGACTTACCAATCAACATGACTTGGCGAATCGGGATATTTGGCCGTTTGGTAGGTTGAAATGCAACGGAACTGTGCCGCGCAGGAAGCGAAATGGAAGAGAACTTGAACTGAGCGGCAATTCTCTGAATCCGCGGAATCGGCCATATCGTACAATACACCACTCATACCTATAGTCACCATTCATACGTCATCCAAGTCATAAGCATCGTGCTCAACCCTCTGCTTCCTCCCTTTCCTTCCCTTGCTACCCCGAATTTTCCGATCCGCAGTATACCGTCCATCGCGGTCACCAACCAACAACCTCCCTCCCTTGCCAAGCACCTTTGCGGGGCCTTCCTCGACGGTCCTTCCATCTTTCTCACCAACACCTATTTCGATAGTGACTTGCTTCGCCTTCTTGACTTTCCTGCCCTTTTTGTCGAATTCGTCGTTTGGCCGGCCTAGACGTACGTTGCGTGGTATCCGCGTCTTTGCGCCGAGGGCCCAGAGGTCGCCCCAGCGGACTTTTCGCGCGTCGCGGTAAGCTTGCTTGCTGAAGGAGCGTGGGACGGTCCAGCGCTCTAGCGTGCCAGCAGGTGTGCACACATCTAAGATGATATGGCCTCTGCGCTTAAGTGCGGGGAGCACAAGACGTGGGAAGGTGAGTGGGTTAACGTCGGTAGATGAGGACATGACGGGCTCTTCGGTTCCTGGGTCTGATGATGGGCGCCATTCGTGCCCTTCAAAAGCTGCGGCGGTTGATGCTTCACCTTGCACGAACCCTTTGCCGAGGATGTCATATTGTGGAAGGCGCTGGTCGCGTCCACGCTGGACGGCTAGGTAGCTGAACTGCACATCCTCATGGTTCTTGTCTTTTGCATTCAAGATACGTTGAAGGTATGGAGGGCGGATGTACCGCTGATTGAAGAAACAAAAGTCCTTCCTTCCTTGGCTCACACCTGTAGACTGATACATCGGGCACGTGCTGTGATTTGTGCATGGTGCAACGATCATTCCCGTCTCCTTCTCAGAGAATCTAGTCTCTTCGTCCGGTTTTGACACCTGAGATTCGAGTAGCGTCTCGATAGTTTCTGAGCCGGGAGAAGATATGTGTTTGTTTAGAAGGTACGAACGGGCAGCGGCTACAACTTCAAAGCCTCGTGGTAGGCCTTTCTCAATGAGGATGAGAACACCACCCTTGGGGTTCAGAAGAGACCAGTATTTTTCGACTTGCTCTCTGCGAAGATAGTCTTGTCGGATGGGCCAAAGTGTATGTGGCGCAATGATGACGTCATAGAACTTGCGCGGTTGCTGCGTGTTTGCATCGTCGGCCGCTGTCACAGTCTCTGGCAGTCGCGGGATAAATGTTGTGTTGTCCAGCAACTTGCTTGCACGGTGGCGCAGTGCATCAGATGCGGTCAAGACAGTCGCCTTTCCCAACGGGGTAGCACCAAGCGACGTGTTTCCCGAGTCCTCGTGCATACGTTGCCATTCGGCCTCTAGCATCTCGTGCCATGCGAGCACGCCGACACCACCAGAGCCAGCGTCTAGTATGGTACCACCCTTTTTGTCCTGCAGCATGTGTCGCAGCCATCCTGACCCTAATCGGCGACGGACTTCAACCATGGCGCTCATGACACTTGCGTATGTGCCTGGCTGTACAGAAGCCATGTAAACATCAGCCTCGATGTTGCCCATATCTGACTGCGAAGGGTGGAGCGGAATTGGTTTCTGCTCGTGGCCCAAGCGTGCAGGGGTCGTGCTGGCGGAGTGAGGCAAACCACGACCGCCAAAGATACGGTTCGCAGACTCGGCGAGGTGTTTGTGGTTGGCGCGCGTCAGGAGCAGCGCGGTAGGGTCGACGAGCGAGTTCTTGGGCAGAAAGACGGTCGAAGGCGATGGCTTGAAGCGGCCCTCGATGGTCAATGGATGTGCGCGCATAAAGCCGTCTTCCTCTTGCCCTTCATCTACGTCCTCCCAGGCCTCTGCTTCCTCTTGTTGCAGTCGACTCTGCTCGTAGATGTCGTCGTGGTATGCCTGCGCCTCTTCCTCCCTGCGCGCTTCCCATTCTGCGGGTGTCATTGTCTCTTGGTCCGGCTCAGCAGCTGCCTCGTCTTCGGCATCGACCTCTTCCGCGACTTCAATCTCTTCGAGTTGGCCGTCCACCCCCTTCCTGAGCAAGACGATGGAACCATCAGGCCCCTCCTGCTCGACAATCTCGTCGTCAACTGCACCGTCAACGCGTTCCGCCTCTTCGGCAGCATCTGCAAAGACGGCTGGGCCATACAGCCTCTTGTATATTGTGTACTCGTCGTCGGTCAAGTGGTCCCGCGGCAACGTATCGCCGAACTGCTGCCTTGCTCTCCGCGCGTTGACTTCGTGGCTGACCGCGTCGGCTGCCGAGGGAGGCAAGCCTTCGGTATCCCGTGAGGCATGTTGCTGCAATTGCCGTCTTCCAAAGGCTGTAGAGAAGGCTCTTCGTGGCGTTGTAGGCTCCGGGGCGACCAAGCGTAGCGGCGGCGGCGCGTGCCGTGTCTGAGAGGGTAATCTTGCGCTACGCGCTCGTGAAATGGCAATGTTTAGTCGGCACGATGCACATACTGACGGTAAGCCTCTCGTCTTCAGCATCATCGAACGCCGACCTTGATCTTGTCGAGCAATGCATTCTGGCCGCTCGAGGCAAAGTTCGCCGCATCTTGAATCCAGGGTCCACGCGCTAAGCCCTGCCCAATCCAGATGCGTGCCGACATGTTTACTCAGCCTGCGCCCCGCTAGAGATGGCTCCCACCAACTATACAACATCGTTTAGTTGTTTCGAAACTATGAACATGGGCCTGGGGTCTGGAGACTTTGACTATCCGTCGCTGAAGAAGCTACTCGACAACACGACTGCTGAAGTCCTACTTCCGGGCGACGGTGAAGAGTACGAAAAGAGCATCGAGAGGTGGAGTGAGCACTGCATAAAACGAGCTGTACGTTCCCCTAGTTCTGTCTTTCTATACAAATGTTTCTGCATCATGTTCACGCACTTATACGAGCAAAGGCTGCTGTAGTCCTAGTCCGGTCCGCCCATGACGTCTCCGCGGTTTTAGCTCAAATACGCGAGCACAGAATCCCCTTCACAGTCCGCGGTAAGCACATTAGAGTACAGCCAAGTTACATGTGAGAGAAAGACTCACTTCCTGTAGGGGGAGGCCACAGCACGTCTGGAGCTGCGTCTATCCGAGATGGCATCGTCATCGATCTTTCCAAGATGCGCAAGGTGATTGTCGATGTGGATGCCGAAACAATCAAGGCAGACGGTGGGACTATCTGGGAAGATGTCGACGTTGAGGCTGCCAAGTTTGGTCTTGCAACTGTAGGTGGCACCGTCAACCATACCGGCGTGGGGGGCTTGACTCTGGGAGGAGGCTATGGTTATCTTACAGGAAAGTACGGCTTAACGATTGGTATGTGCATGAACCAGTATCAATGAGTATTGATAAAGTCTGCGTTACTGACATCTTCCAGATAATCTATTGTCCGTTGACATTGTCCTCGCTTCTGGTGAACAAGTTGTCGCGTCAGCCACCTCAAACCCCGACCTATACTGGGCTGTGCGAGGCGCAGGTCAGAATTTTGGAGTAGTGACGGCATTCACATTCCAGGCTTATCAACAGAGGAGCCATGTGTTTGCGGGGCCGCTGGTTTTCCTTCCGGATAAGCTACCACAGGTCGTTCAGTTCGCAAATAAGTTTCATACTACCAACGACGGCAACCAAGCGATGCTCATGGGCTTCTCTGCCCCACCACCGGCGAATGCTTCGGTTGTAATTTGCCAGATCTTTCACAACGGTAACGAAGAAGAAGGAAACGCCTTCTTCGCCGACTTATTTGAACTCGGCCCAATAGCGAACATGACCGCCATGATTCCCTACCCTCAACTCAATAGCCTTCTTAATCAAGGAGCCGGCTTTGACGGACGTAAGCTTTTCGGTGGTGGCGCTTTCAGACTCCCCATGGACCCAAACTTCGCTATGCAGCTTCACGCTGAGTTCAATGCTTTTGTGGCGTCGCATGAGCGAATGAACGAAAGCATGATGCTTTTTGAAGCCGTTCCTTATAAGAAGGTCATGGAGATTTCCAACGACAAGACGGCTTTCTCAAATCGTGGCGATTACTATAATGTGGCTGTGATGATGAAATGGTAAGCCAAATCAGCACCACAGAGGAGTTAATATTAAAGAGAGCACAGGTTCGATCCTTCACTCGACGACAAAATTCGTACGTTCTCACGAAACCTTCTCAAAAAAGCCTCAGAAACTGCCTCGGAACGGTCAAAGGATGGTGGTGTAGGTCAGTACGGCAATTATGCAGCTGCCGATGTTGAGGCGAACGAGATCTTCGGCGCAAACGTGAAGCGACTCGAGGAACTTAAGCACAAGTACGACCCCGATAACCTGTTCAGTCATGGCACAAAATTGACTCCGCGTCCCTTGGTAGTGGTGAATTGAGTACTCCCACCATATGTGCATATATACAACACGGGATGAAATGTATCGAATCAGATGCGTACAAAATTCAGTCTCCGGTTTACTACTATATATTTACCACGATGATGCTTTGTTTACCAACAGCTCAGTACATACTTTTGTGTACTTTCCTTCGTCTCGGCTCGAGGTCGGAGTTACCACATCGGATATATATCTACACTACACGACGCGACAGTAGCGCCGGAAATCAGCAACCCCTGACGTCACCCCATACCACCGGCCTCTACAATATTACCAAGCTTCTACGCCACACCCAGATAACCCTGCACGACTAGCCGTATCCACTCCTTTTCAGTCTGCGCTCGGGAAATAATGTCTACCGATGCACCGACAGTATCTGAATCAAAGGACCAACGTTGTGGGGCACGCGATCCACGGAGATTCGTCCTACACGTGCTTAAAACCGAGCGTGCAGACTCTATCAAAATCGCGAAGTTCGTCGCATGCAAGTTCTGTATCTATTCACTTTCCAAGCTTGAACGCCGGCATAGCGACACTGTTTCCCTCACCACAACCTTCTCTATCGTTGAAAAACACAGACGAGTTATATTTATATACATGGAAGTTCACGCCCTACACTAGTAATCATAGTCTGCTACACGTATTTGACAGCATACCCAGTCTTTGTGCACGCCTCTTCTCAGTCTCACGTCACCATGGAAAGCACAAGACGACCACGAGCTCAAAGATCATCCACGTGCCGATCAGTATCCCGACAACGGCGACTCGACAACGCACCATTACATCGTATCTTGTCCAGTCAATTCCCAGACGATCATTCGGTTTATCACCATGAAGATGGCGAGGGAACCCATGTCGACGAGGACGCCAGTTCATTGCACAAGACTGAGACTGAAAGGCGAGACGAGAACTCGTCCAGTGACAACGACGACGGCGGCGACAGCGGCGATGACAAAGGTGGGAAAGAAGTAAAAGACGATACCGCTCAAGAGGAAAATACGACTTACGAGGAGATACGGGGTGGTATTCCATACGAGCGTGATGTGGTGGCACTATCACGTTTAGAAAAGCAAAAGTCTACGCGGTCCGTCAAAGACCCAAATTTGGTATTTTCTACCTGACAGACATTGACTGCTACTGTAACATCTAACATACATAAGGTCACATGGGATTCAGAGTTCGACCCACATAATCCAAAGAACTGTAGGTTTGGTCTCGCCAACTAAGCACAGATAAGTTGTGGTCTAACAGCTGGTAGGGTCCATGAAGCGGAAATGGGCAGCAACTATCATTGTCTCTTCTTTTACCCTCGTCTCGCCAATATCCTCGTCCATGATCTCGCCAGCTCTGAGCAGCATCAGTGCTGAATTCGGCATCACAAATGAAGTCGAAGCCCAGCTTACCTTATCTATCTTCGTTCTGGCGTATGCAATTGGACCGCTGTTCCTAGGCCCACTATCGGAGATCTATGGACGAGTCATCGTCTTGCAGCTGTCAAACTTGTTCTACTTGGCTTGGAATTTGGGATGTGGATTTGCTCAGACATCTGGCCAGCTCATGGCATTCCGATTCTTCAGTGGTTTAGGCGGATCTGCACCATTAGCTATTGGTGGTGTATGTACTCTCTTTCTGAAAAATGCCGTTGGAAGATAAAACGCTAATTGACTTACTAGGGTGTTCTTAGCGATTGTTTCCTTCCCGAGCAGCGTGGCCGAGCCATAGCAATCTATTCACTGGCTCCATTACTGGGCCCGGCTATCGGGCCTATTGCCGGTGGTTTCATCTCTCAAAACACGACTTGGAGATGGTGTTTCTACGCCACCACGATCTTCACAGCAATGGTGCAATGTCTCGGGTTCTTCTTTCTGCAAGAAACATACGCACCAAAGCTCCTTGAGTGGAAGCGAAACAAACTGCGTAAAGAGACAAGCAGCGAAGAACTACACACTGAGTTCGATAATCCTGATCGAACGCTTGCAACAACTATTAAAATCGCCATGAGAAGGCCGTTCAAACTGCTCATCACCCAGCCCATTGTGCAAGTTCTGGCTTGCTACATGGCCTACCTATATGGCCTCATGTATCTGATGCTCTCGACCTTCCCCAGCTTATGGGTCACGCGCTATGGCATGACTATAGGGATTGGTTCTTTGAACTTCATCTCCATGGGCATGGGCTTCTTCCTCGGCACACAGATCACCGCACCCCTCAATGACGCCCTCTACCGCCGCCTAAAGAAACGCAACAACGGCATCGGTAAACCAGAATTTCGCATTCCAATCATGATCCCTGCGTCTCTTCTCGTTCCAATCGGCCTTTTTTGGTATGGTTGGAGTGCACAAGCGCAGGTACATTGGATCATGCCTAATATCGGTGCTGCGATATTTTGCGCGGGTGTTATTGTGGGGTTTCAGTGTATACAGACTTATCTTGTTGACAGCTATACACGGTACGCTGCGAGTGCTATCGCGGCGGCGACGGTGCTCAGGTCGTTGGCTGGGTTTGGATTTCCGTTGTTTGCACCGGCTATGTATGACGAGTTGGATTTTGGATGGGGAAATAGCGTGCTGGGCTTTATTGCCTTGGCTTTGGGTGTCCCAGCGCCGTTCATGCTATGGAAGTTTGGGGAGAAGTTAAGGAGTAGTAGCAAATTTGCCGCGGGCTGAAGGTGTCGCAGAAGCGTCAATACCCGCCTCGTAATGTGGAAAGCAACGCGCGGGGACTTGATGTTGCGAAATCAGATTAGACGAGAGGCCTAATCGAAGTGGAATACTTGAAAGCATACTAGAATAGCCGCACGCTATCAGTCGTGACTTGAGTTCGTCATTCTCAAACACGTTCTTCGTAAAACACAAGTCGTGAGCGACAAATTGTCTCTATCATTCCGCCCTTTGTCCACAGCCTAGCTATGTAGAGCTATTTTTTCAGCTGGTACTAAAAGTATGTCCGACGCGACGGCCCATGACGCCAACTGCGTGTCCATCTCAGTCGTCAATTTCGTAATGCAGCGATACATTGAGCCAGCTTCGTCAGTTCCACCTCTCAGTCTTCCTAATCACACCCTGGAGTACAGCAATTAGAGCATCCGTAAATATATCCAAGATCGACATGTAAAGAAAGCATCGTGAGATGACGGCTGCAGCTTTATCGTCACCCTGAGCATCTTTGGGGCGTCGGCGACACACCAGCCGGGCAACACTCCAGCGAAGCACCTCAAAGCTATCTCAATCATCCCGCATACCAGAGCGCGCCTTCAATGACCAGGCCCCAGTCTTAGTCAAGATCGCATTCTCCTCTTGGTTGAGGTGTCTGACAAGCTACCTAGGGAGTGGGGGGTGTGCGATTGGGACCGTGCCCTAGCAACCCGCGAACTTCCCTGCATAAACACACTTTTGCTCGACCAGTACTTGCGCCGCAGAGGCCGTTACTCTAACAACCTTTCGCGTCGAGCCCTCATATACTCTACATAATACCGAAATGTCCGACGAAGATCTCGAGCAGATAAGACGCGCGCGCCTGCAGCAGTTACAACAACAGGGCGGGGGAAGCGGAGGACAAGGAGGCGAAGGCGCCGAGCAAGATTCGCGAAAGTAAATACAATTATACACGAAGATCAAGGTTTCTTACTAAGGCAGAGTTACAGGCAGCAAGAGGGTACGTTTTCAGAATCTCTCCTGGCGCAGACATGCATCACTTGACCACACACTCCCCCTTCGCCCACTCGTCCAAACCCCGCCGTCCACTAGCAACCACGGGCTAACCCTTCCCATCAGCCGACCAGCGTTCCTCCATCCTCTCACAAATCCTTCTCCCCGAAGCAGCCGACCGTCTCGGCCGTATCCGCCTTGTCAAGGAATCGCGCGCAACCGACATCGAGAACAGACTTATAATGCTTGCGCGGACTGGCCAATTACGACAGAAGGTTACAGAAGATCAGCTCAAAGAGATACTGGGGGCTGTAGCAGAGCAACAGGAGAAGGAAGAGCAGAAGATTGTTGTCAACAGGAGGGGAGGGAACTGGGACGATGATGATGAGCTCGAGGAACTCATGAAGGATGTATAGGGAAGCGAGGATAGGTAAACAAAGGGAGAGAGACACACACAGATGCTGGGTGTTGCATTAGGCGATGCTTCTGGGACATGCAAGGCAGGTAGTCTTGCGCATGAAAGCTAAGGTACGACTTCTCATGGCAACTTCACGACGTGCATCAAGTCGTACATGATTTGTGACCATTATCCATCTGCCGGTGGTTGTTCAATACTCGCTACTTAGTGCTCAATCATGACGAATGATAACCTGTGGATTAGTGAAGAAGCAAGCACAAGAGAAGAACAACATCAGATGTGCCGTTCGATAAAATCGCAGCCGCAAATGGGAGTAGTACCACCATCCGCTTGGTGCAAACAGTGTGCGCAGTTGAAAAGAGGGTTCGGACGAAGTGAGGCTATAGATGCCGCGTAAAAGACTCAAACAGTGTTCTAATGCTAGGTAAGCGTGGGTTTCTACCAGTATACCATCTTCCGAGTGTTATCTGAGGTATAGATGAACAAGCCAACCTGTCGCAAAGACCATGACAAGCATTTGCATGTAACCCCCAAATGAAAGTACCGGATTCGATCACAAGCGCGATCTTGGAGTTGTCGTAGGCATTGAAACCAATGATCTCACGTCGCTGCCATCCTGGCCATACCCTCCCTATCCTCCGCGCTCAAGGTATTGGCCTTGGCAGCTTCCTTCCATCTCTCAAGCTGCTCATACTGCTCATACTCCAGCTTGCCTTTCAATAACTTCAACAGCTTTGGTGTGAACTTTCCCGTTGCATATACGACACCATCGTACTGCTTTGCGAAGAGCAAGATCACTAGCGTTAAGAAGAGTACGGGGCCGTCGGAAGCTTTTTGTTTCTTGATTCGGCGAAGCATGTCGTCGAGCATCGATTGCTTGGCAGCAGCCAGCGAATCTGTAGATGGATGGTTGATACCTTGTTTTTTGTTGAATTTCTCCAAAGCTGAAGATAGTGATGTATTATCCAGAGGCGTCGTGGACTCCAGCACACTCGAGAGCTTGGTAACATTCTTTCTTGTTTTGCGGCTGAGGACTAGACCCTGCGCTCGTGCTTTGGCAATAGTATCGGGTATAAGGTCCTTGTGTGCGTAAGTTGCAAAGACCTGAGCAAGCTGGCTGTGCACTTTCTGGTCCATGACTGAAACTAAGCCGGCGCTGTATATCCGATATCGGGTGAGCATGCGATCTGTCCAGTACATGGCAAACTCCTCTTCATTCAGTGTTTCGAACGAGGACACGTGGAACCAGAAGCGCTCTTCTAATAACTTCTCAACTGGTTTTTGTTGGAGGAGAAGGCGCTGAACAAGGCCTGTGGGAGGAATCATGTCTTTGATCTTGTCTCGAGTAAATTTCACGTCTTCCACTAGGGTTGGATCGTCGTGTAGACTTTGCCATTGTGCCTTTGCAGCTTCTTTTGCGTAGCCAGCGAGCTCGTCGAGTGCTCCGTCTCGGCGCCTTTCAGTGAGTATCAGAGTGCCGACGCGCACTATCTTCAGCCCTCCAGTGGTCTCGGAGAAGTGAGCGACAATAGAGTTCTTGGCTCGGCCGGCCACCTGCTCCCTTATAGTTGGTGGAAGACGGGAGCCAATCACTTCGGTGACATCAAGGGTACAACCTTCTTGTTCAAGGATGCGTACGCAATCTTGCTCTAACCTGGAGATCCAGATCAGTGATACAGCGAAAGAGTCTATTACCTCAATGCCTGAGAGTTGCTGGAAGTAAGACAATGCGACTTGGGAAGACGGGAAAAGTTCGATGAAGTCGGAGGCGAATCTTTGCACATCGAGATAGGCAAGAGCGCCGGACTGCAGATCGTAGACTGTGGTATCGCGTTCGGATTCTAGATATCGCTTGGGTGTGCACAAAACGCTAACGTCAGTTTCCTGGATGTTGACCTTGGAAGTAAGATTTTCAGACTGCAAGAGTCGCTCGAGAGTATGCAGAATGAACCATGTAGGGGGATTGTCAGGCAAATCAGCTGGTTTGATATTGAGAGTCCTGTACAGAGTGAGCATGCGATGCATCTAAGGCAAGTTCTGCACTTACCGGACATCATCGACCGTCTTTTGAATCATACTCTTTACTATGTCCGCGATCTTGTGAGCATAGGCCTTAGTGTAGATGTAGCCGTTAGTTTCCAGGACGTTATAATCTTGACTGGACAGGAGGAAGTCAAGACTCTTGGAAGAGACACGGTGCTGGGCAATGAATTCGGCCTTGGATGCCAGTCCCCCAGATGACAGGCGAGTGACTATCGTGTCTCGCTCATCTATGGGAATAATGCTTTCCTCGTCCGCGCTGAACAAACATAGCTTGGGGTGGCTGTGGACTAGTTGATGGACAAGTAATCGACCTATGTCGAGGTCGTTGGCCAATGTGGAAACCGGTATCCGCTGTGTCTCTGGTGCATGCTTCAGCAAATGTAGCCAAGAGAGATTACGAACGCTCACCTTTGGTCACGCGGCTTCTGAAACGAGCCTGGACAAACTGGAGCGTAACGAAAGCATGGCCGCTGGAGGATAGCGCAAGCCGCGGAACAAAATCGGAAGTGTCTTGCGGAGGGAAGAGGGCGAAGATGTCCTTCACATCATGTGCGGTAAACATGCCAGCTGGACGTTGGGTAGCGCTGCAGACTAGATTGCCAACATGTACTGTTCAGGAACAGTGCTGTGAGCTCGAACGGTTCGGCGGCGTTGGAGTATATAGTGCAAGGGAAAGCGTCAGAGGCTGGATTGCGCTGATTGGTGGGGAGCGGGCAGCGGGCGGCAGAACACCGGGATTGAACAAGGTTGTGGCTCATGGTCGAGTGCTCGCAGACATTCAACCCATTCCGCCCACCGCCACCATGTCTCAATTCCGCGCGGCCAAGCTGGACATTGGATGTTTCGCAAAGATTCGCAATATCCGCGACCACACCAAGCGGAAGGTGTACTCGGAGAATGAGCCAGAACGGCATGCGCCTCTGCACCTAACGCTCCCATGGCGCAACGACTGACGACGACACAGACAAGCTCTGCGATACCTGATCCGCAATACCACGCTTCCGCAACGAGTCCGCGCGCAGGCTCAGCTCCAGCTCTCGCAGATGCACTGCTACACACGCTACACCCAGATCAAGAACAGGTGTATAATGGGCGGCAAGGGCCGTGGTGTCTTCAGCGACTTCAGAATGGGCCGAGTATGCCATGGCCTTCTCTTCGCGCGACGCAGGGCTGACGATGCTACAGTATCAATTTCGCGTAAACGCTCTCGCGGGGAACCTGCCGGGCGTGAAGAAGGCAAGTTGGTAGCTGTGCTTCTACGAGAACCCGACTGGTTCCATGTACAATCCCACCTACTTTTGGCTACACATGTAGCCTTGCACATGGCCGCTCTTCGGGCGCACACTGTGAGACATTGCGTGCGAAATCTTCGTGGTTGACCCATCTCACTGTCTACTTTGCCCTCCCCTCGCTGTCTCACCGTGCGAGACACCCTTTCCTAATCGGTTTGCTCTCACCACGCGCTACAAACGACGGCAGCGGCTACCCACCGCGCCAGTGATAAAAGCCGACTTCCGTAGCCATTACACCTACAATCCCTACTCCCGCAATAGCTCTGGCTGCCGTTTTCTAGCAACTCACTTCGCCACTGTCTACGGTCCATAGACGCCCTCAAGCATCTACGTCAGCATGTTCCGCCGCATAGAAGACACTCTGGAGCCGGATCCATCATTTCCAGCCGACCTCAACCAACTTGGCTTCTTCATCAACCTCTCAGGTCATGTCCGTATGATCGACGCCCCCGAGAAGCCCTATGTCTACCACGCGACCAACAATGAGCGCGTCAACGAGGTGCGCCGCGAGGCCATGCAAAGTACATTCCAATCTCCATTGAAACACTCGCAGCTAACACATCACAGCCTGCCAGCGCAAGGAAGCAGAGAAGCGCCTGTCCTACCTCGGCCTCGAGTGCATCCACCTTCCCGACTTCGCCATGACCAAGCCCAATGGTCCACATGTACCTATCCTTGCTCCACCGCCTGACCTCCTCAAGACGCGAAAGCGATTGATTGTACTGGTAAACGACACCATGCAAGATCTAGGCATCCTGGCGTATAGACAGTTGCAGCGGGAACTCGGCATCAACGGTGGCTCAGTCGTCAACTTTGCCAAGGAGATGGTCAAGTGCTCGGACACTGACAACACCGCTGAAAGGGACGCGAATATTTTCAAAGATGGTCATGTTCTCCAAGACAAGACTACCACTCCTGCTTTGATTGTCTTGAACGCGGGCCAGCTGCTGTACTCGCACAAGTACGACCAGGCCATGACTCTACGCAGTTGGTCCGCCATGCCACGCAAGTCAATCGCCCACGACATGGTCCGCATCCGTGACAACGAGAACCGTGTTCCAGGTCATGAAAATGCCAAGAAACATGTCAAGACTGTCTTTGACGAAGTCATCTGCAACCCCGATCGTGTTGCAGCCGACGCAGAAGTCTACGTCATCGCTATTGAAGACGGAACGGAGAGTATCTTGAACCTGCTCACGCACGACTGTACGTCTCCTGGCCCTGCTTTCACCTGAGGAGTTTACACTAACGTATTGTTATAGTCGGCAAGTATGGTACCCGTATCACGGCCATGGCGTTCATTCACTCCTTGAACGACGACTCCCAAATCAAAGATGAACAGATTCGCGCTTTCATGCATCAGCGCACACGTCAGTGGCGATTCAGCGATCTGACATGCAACCCCCAGCACTGTGTCGACTTACCGACTGACTACAATCGACAAGTCAACGGGCCTTGTTCTGCAGACACACCATCAACCATGCAATCAATCAAGCACATGTCTTGGCACGCTTCGATTCCTACAGGCCCAGTCTCGGCTCTAACGAAGGCTTTCCACAGCCTCGCTCTCAGCGTCACCTCTTCGGCCGGGGCTTCCACTCCAACCGCAACATCAACCTCTACTAGTGGAGAAGAAAGCACAGAATGGTCCTCGGGTCAAGCTGTCATCTGCCCTACCTTCGCGGGCGGCGACAATTCGGTTGGTGAATGCATCTTTACCTACCCTCCCACCCAGCATGCCATTCTCTCTTTCTTCCAAGACGTCGCGCAAGACCCGGTCCACTATCGCAACCCACCTGGCCTCCAAATCTTTACCGAAGCCCCCAAGCCCAGCCCCGAAAATCCTCTTGCACTATCTTCAGACCACGAGAATGACGCTGGGCTCTACTTGCAAAATCTCTTGCCGCAGACGACGTCTGAGCACGCTGAGCTAGATGAAGCTCGCGAGCGGCTCGCCGAGTTACAAGTTGCCTTGTCTGCCTGCCCTACTGATGCTGCAGAGCTAGACAAGGGTCGCGTGAAGTTGGAAGTTAAGGTGAAGAGCATGGAGGCGAAGATTGAGTCTTTAGAGATCAAGGCGCTGAGTCACGGCGGACTGGCCGCGGGTGAAGTGGTCGAGAAGCGCGAGGATTGGAAGCCGCAGGTTGAGGGTCCCCAGGTACCATTTGCAGGGACCATGGTGGATAGTGAACTGTTGAAGGCGGCGGGGCTGATGGAGTCTGTGGATGAAGAAAAGGCTTTTGTTTGAATGGCGAATGGCAGCTCTAATCGTGTAGCGAAGATGAGGGGATGATGGCAAGTCCCGGATGGAAAGGACACAAAAGCGTTTGTTTTTCAGCCATCCTACGCACCACGAACTCCTCCTCTTGTCACGTCAGCACGAGGAAGACGTCTTTTGGCTGCTCGGCGATGGAGTTAGGGTCATCTACCTTATTTGCATCATGTCCTTGAGAATAAGACCACAGCCTCAATCTCGCTTATCGTTGTCCTCAGGCCTAGGTTCAGTACTCAACTGATTCCCGTTATAGAACTGTTGAGGTACATCTCTTGCCCGCTGGTCCGCCAGCGTTCTTACCCTCATCCCACCCGAAGTTGCCTGATCCAGCACAGGATCGTGACTGGGATCCCGGGTAGGTCTGCTGCCCATGGTACGACCACCACCGCCATGGTTGTTACTGCTACTACCATCACCACCTTGCTCGTGTTGCGCCCCGTAGCCTATAACGGAGCTGATGGTACTCCCCACGTAGCCAACAGTAGAAGTGAGAAGCCCAAAGGCCCCGCCAACGATGCCCGTCGCGGCTCCTGCTATACCTCCTCCAGTGACCCCGGAATACGCATCTGAGTAACCCTTTACTGGCACCAGTACCAACGTCGCACTGGGCGCTAGATCAATATCGCCCAACTCGACGGCCTCGTCGCCGGCAGAGAGCTCACGACTGGGCGATGGAGCGAGTATATGTCGGAAAAAGTAAGGAGGCAGTTGTTTGTTGTTGATGTTCTCGTCATCCTGGGTCAATTTCCCAAACTCAGTGTCAACCCAGGACCGCACGTCAGTCTGCAGGGTGGCGGAGCGAGGGAATGTAGAGCGAATGGTGCGGCCATCGAACAAACGAACATTGAGAGCGACGGTTTTGGAGTTGGTGCCTCGCGAGGACGTTGGCACTGGCTGTGATGTGTCGGGGGCTCGTAGTGCGCCCTTGTTCCTCTCCTTCTCGCGTTCTGCTTTGCGCAATTCGGCATCTACTTTGCGCGCTGCTTTGTCGGCTTCTATTCGTGCTTTTATACGGGCTAACTCTTCGGCATCTTCTCGTTTCTTCTTTCGCAGGGCGTCGCGGGCTTCTTGTTGGGCTTTGGTGGCGGATGTGGATGGGAGAGTGGGGTGCTGGGAGCCTGTGGCTTTTTGCTTGCCTGGTGTGTTGGACGTGAGGGTGGGTAGTGAGGTTTCGGGGAGGCCATACAGGTCGTCTTCGGCTGCAGCATTCGCTATACTATTCGTAGGTTCTGGTGTGCTTGCTTGTGGGGGAGAGGTTGGTGCTGCGTTGGAGGCTGGGATGGGATTCGCTCCCAGGACGCGTCGGATTGAGTTGATAAAGTCATCTCTCGTGGCGTCGTTCTTGAGTTGAACTTGGAGTTGGCCGTTCTGGATGACGACGAAAGTGGGCACGCTCGAGACATCGGAGAAGGCAGCCAGAAAACCGGCTTCGGTCGAGCCCGCTTCGAGTCGCAGGACGACCGCTTTTTGGTGGAGCAGAGTCGACAGCTAGACATGCATCATCAGCGCGTGTTGTGAAAACCTGGCCGAGTCCCAACGTACCCATCCGCTCTTCAGCCACTCGCCTTCCCACTCGTGGCTCGTGGCGCCGTCGTCTACGCAGCTAGTCAGTCACGATGCTTCCCAGATTCCGATAGTGCACCGTCACGTACCTCGAACGAAGCAGGCAACGAGTTTCTGCTCCTGAATGGCAAGCGCGATTCCGCTCTGTAGGCTGCCTTGGTGGAACATGTTGGTGGGTGGTGGTGGTGGCTCCATGTCTGCACTACCGCGGGGATTAGCCTGGGAACCTGCTCGGCGCGTGGTACCGTGGCCAGACGACGCACGAGCATGGCCGGCGGCCGTCAGCGCCCGCTTCATTCAGTGGCTTATTCACACGGCGTTGGAGATGTGCAAAGGGAAAAGATGCAATAAACAGTTCTATCGGTAATGCCAAGCCCATGAATCCTCCACGCCGAAGAAGGGTAATGCTGCAATAAGCCAATGCTAGACTCGCTCTATATCCAAACATCAAGCCAGAAGGTGCTGCACAGCATGTGCCCCTTCTGCTTGGTCCCGCCGTTCCGCTTGGGCTTCCCAATGATGCCGACCGTGTACAGTGTCGGGAGTGAGTGGCATATCCAAGTTGTTGGTCTTTTCCCAATCAGGCCAAAGCCGTGGCCCCTGGGCCCTGGTATCGGCTTATAGGATGGTGCACTTCTTCTTGTTCTTGGTCGCCGACTGCTGGGGACGGGGGCTGAGGACGGCGCTGGGGCAGGTTAGGACAGTCATGCAGGGAGCACATGGGAACGTACCGAATAGCTTCGTCAAAGACACTCTTCAGGTTGCGCTGTGTGAGGGCGGAGCACTCGAGGTACTTCTGCGCCTTGATCTCTTTTGCGACCATGACGGCCTGCTCGTACTGGATGGGCGCCATCTTCTTCTGCCTCAACGACTCCTTGGTCGCCTCATCGTCCCTCAGATCGAGCTTGGTGCCGACGAGGATAATGGGAACGCCGGGCGCGTGGTGATCTATCTCAGGGTACCACTGGCAGGGGGTTAGCGGGTGCGCACGCGGCGTGGCGGGCGGCTTGGTACCTTTGCCTTGACGTTGTCAAACGACGGGGGGCTGACGATGGAGAAGCAGATGAGGAACACGTCCGTCTGGGGGTACGAGAGCGGGCGCAGTCGGTCGTAGTCCTCCTGGCCGGCCGTGTCCCACAGCCCCAGGCTTATGGGCTTCCCGTCGACCATGACATTTGCCGAGTAGTTGTCGAAGCTGGGCGAGTTAGCTCACGCGTGGTGCAGCGAGGGGCGGGCGTACACGGTGGGGATGTACTCGCCCGGGAAGGCGTTGGTCGTGTACGAGATGAGGAGACATGTCTGCGCGGTTAGCAGGCTGCGCGGCTGTCGCGGGAGCGGCGAGGCTCACCTTGCCTACAGCGCCGTCGCCGGTCACGACGCACTTGAGCGATTGCGTCGCGGGAGCAGCCATGGTGCGCGAGGTGTCGCCCGGGGAGCGTGGCTTTGGCGGACCCGGTTCGGCGGAGCAACGGGGCGGCGAGGGTGGAGCGGATCGAGTCGGGCGCAGGGCAGGGCAGGGCAGGGCAGGCAGGCAGGCAGGCAGGGCAGGGCAGGGCAGGGCAGGGCACGATGCAGATGCAGCGAGGCGGCGCGTGGGAGGTAGAGGACGCACCGGCGAGACTGCGCAGCACGATGCGGGTAGCAGGTAGCTTCTGTGAAGGCGCGGGAGCTATCTGCAGCGTAGGGGGGCGTTTTATCGCTTGGCAGGCGGCGGGTCACGAAGCGAGCTGGAGCTGGAGCGACCAAGCTCGACGAGCGCGTACCCTCTTGAAACCCTTGTGCAACACGCTGCTCACGCCTGCCATCCGCCGTGCTAGCTAGCTACGGGCTCGTGCTACGCCTACATGCTTCAATACCACACAAACAGTCCCTCGCCGCCTTGCCTGTCCTCGCCCACCAGCTGCTTGCACACCACCAGCCTGACCACGGCCTCGTGCAACTCTCTCATGTCGAGAATGCCGCGCTTCTTCCCGTCAATGTACGACACGTCCACCACGACTCGTTTCAAGTTGGCCGTCGACAAGGCTCCCTCTTGCAAGAGCGCTATCAACCGATCCGGTGTCCCAACCCCGTAGTCGATTCTGCTCTTGCTCAAATGCGCGACCTGGTCTGCGAGCTTCAGGTGCTTTGCAAACAGCTTGGCCACGCTGGGCTTCTCGACTCCCTGGGTAGGTAGCCCAGACTTGAGACATCGGCAGACGTCTGCCGCTCGCATCCCAGAGCCCGTCACTACAAGCGTGTGGGGAGCGCCGGGCGGCTTACATGGCGTCGCCTCCAGCGTCCCTGCCTGCTTCTTGAGAAAGGCAGGCAGCTTGTCTGTAGTTCGCGGCTCCGTCCAGCTGCTACTGTCCTGCACCGTCCGCGCTGCTTGACGTCAGCATTTCACGATATGTCTCG